GAGTTATAACTAATTTTATCTCCTTTCTAGTTAACATTTTATACACTACATCTATTTTTCTCATTAGTCTTTATATCCATTATTTTAATTCCTGCAAAAAATTCCCATCAGGATGCTACACTATAATGTTCTTAAACAAACCAATGGGTCATTTCCAGTGGGTTTCCTCTAGTCTGGATCATGTTCAAGACACATGTTAATATACAGTTGACCCTTGAACAACGGGGTTAGGGATACCAATCCCCTACACATTCAAAAATCCATGTATAACTTTTCGCTCCTTCAAAACTTAACTACATAATAGTCTACTGTTGACTGGAAGCCTTACCAATAACAAAGACAGTCTATTAACACATATTTTGTATATTATATGTATTATATACTGTATTCACACATAAAGTAAGGCTAAAGAAGAAAATGTTACTAAGAAAATCATAAGAAAGAAAAAATACATTTACAGTACTGTACTGTATTTATTGATACCATAAATTTACATTGTCTATTTATAAGATGAATTGTCTGTCTGAAATGGCAAACACCTGCAGCTGCAGACTTCAATATATAGTACATATAAAGCAATTCAACTTTTTCTTGTAATATCATGCCTTTTCTTTGCTTTTTGGGCACACTTCTGACATCTCTAGCGGCATTTCATATGGGTCCTGTGGTGTTATTCAGGGTTTACAGTGTTGTACTAAATACAATGAAAAATATAGGAAAACCACATGAGATCACTTTTTACTGTGATATGCAATTTGCTGAAGAGATGAACTGCTCTCATGGAGATGATTAGTGTCACACGGTGTTTTAAGCAGATACTTGTAACACTTGAGCTCACCACAATAGTAACAGGATGTGGCTATGAAATTATTACAGTAGTACAGTATGCACTATAGTTAATTTTATGCAGTTATGATTTAATACTGCATCTTTATGTTCCTCTTGACTGCAAATAGTGGCATGTGCATTCTGTAAGTTTTGTGTGCTTAAGCTTTGATAAATTTTACCTTTTTATAACAGATTTGTATGTATTTTATGGTAGTAAATGATAAAATAGACTACTGTCTACATATGTTTTATGCATTCATGACATACCTAACCCTTTCTTAGTTTTTTCAATATTTCTAGACTATGCGATCTGTCTGTAAGTTTTTCAAATTGTTGCAGATCTCCAAAAAATTTCCAGTATATTTATTTAAAAGAATCCATGTATAAATTGGCCTGCACAGTTCAAACTCATGTTGTTCAAGGGTCAAGTATATATCTAGCCTTTTTTATTTCTAAAAATATTTCCTTAAGTATAAATTTCTAGAAGTAGAATTACTATTTCAAAGGTTATAAATGATTTAATGACTCTAGAAACCTTTTGACACATTGCTTTCAAAAAATGGATGTGCCAGTTTACACAGCCATCTATAGTGTATGAGAGCATTTATGTTCGGTATGATCATGTTTTTCTTGTTTCGCTTTTTTTCTTCTGTTTCTATTAAAGTCCCAACCTTTTAGTTCCCCCAGATTGTTTTTAAAAAAAAACAAAACTGTTTTCTTCTTTTTGATTCATGGCCTGTAGAATTGTAACATTGCAAAGAATATGGGAATGAGATTGGCTTTCCTTTATAGTTAGGGAAAAACTAGCCTAAAATGTAAAGATGATTTTCTGGTTGCTAATGGGAGGAGTTTCTGGGGCTTGCTGCTTTCTCAGATAGAAGAGATTTTTTTTACATATGAGATCAACATGTTATTCCCAATTATCAGTGATACAGCTTCTAAATATTCCTACCTTTTAACAATAGTTAAATGCTCTCTCTGAGGTTTGTTTGATCTTGAATCTACATTTGGGTTGGAATCTTTTGTCAGTAGAAGCTGACATGTTCTGAGAGCTGAGAAAGAGAATATTTACTTAGGAATTCTTTTCTTAATCCTTATATTAATTGAATTGGCAGAGTATATAAAACAGACTTCACATAGTTTTTATATATTGTTCTTTATGTCATTAGAATTTTATTCTATCAGAATTATCACTGTTTCTTGTGTTTGTGTATTTGCATTTTATGGTTTCTGTTCTGGTATTCAAAGGCCTAGGATACTGCTGATCCTATATGCCTTTTACAATTAATAATTTAGCTTTGGCCTTTTTAATTGGGACATATTTTCTAAATTACAGTTAATTTCCTTACAGATTGGTTAGCAACATTTTATAATGTAGAGCACTATAGTAAAATAGTTTGTGTTTTTAACAACAGCTTTAGGCTTAAATACTGTAACATGGCATTTCGAAGTTTCCCTGGAAGAACATTTAGTCTGTAAAATGTTTATTATTCTAGAATTTTTAAGATCTTCCAAACAAAAAAATCTGAAAGGAAATAAAACTTAAACTGTAGATATGATAGAAGTTTATAATATTTTTAATATAGAAGAGTTACGTGAATAAGCAGCAGGTCAAGTAGTCCCTTACACCTTTTCTGTGTGATTTTAATATTATTTTATAATTATTCAATCAAGGACCTGGACCTTTCTTGCTAAAATTACTAAAAAGAATTTCACTGGTTCTTTTGACCAGTGTTATAATAGTGTGTTTTACCTGTGTTTCGAATGAAGAAAAGAAAGCTTGCTATATTTTAGTTGATAATGAATCCATTAGGGTTTTTAGGATTTCTGAATGTCAAAATAGAACTTGGTGTGAACCCAGGAAACTATCTTTGATATGAAGAGAACAGGGAATACAAGACAGAGTCCATTTAAAAAAAATACATTACTATGGGATACTAGTAATTAAAGTCATTGTCTGCCTTGAGTGAGTTTATTTCTGAGACATTTAAGCTTTTGGAGCCCTCCCTTTAAGTTTTAGAAAGGAAAGTAATGGTGGTATTATTATTTTCATGTTATATACTATATGACTTAATCTTACTGATAATGTTTTATGTAAAACAGCTTTATATTATATAATTATAACCTATTTTATATACTATCAAATATTTAACAATTATGTTTTCATAATAAGATTATTATTTTTTTTTACAGGTTGAACATCCCAAATCTGAAATCTGAAAACTGAAATGCTTCAAAATCAGAAACTTTTTTAGCACTGACATGACACTCAAAGGAAATGCTCATTGGAGCATTTTAGATTTTAGATTTTTGGATTTGAGTTGCTCAACCTGTAAGTATTTATCTACAAGTATTCCAAAATCCAAAAAAATTTGAAATACTTGTTGTCCCAAGGATTTTGGATAAGGGACACTCAACCTCTAATGTAATAAACCATAAATAAATTCATCATTAGAGCAGTACATGTGAGTACCAGAACTATAAAGAGAACACATTGCATTGTTACAGAGTTTGTGATGCTTAGATGGTAGAAGTGAAGTTCATCTCGATGCACCCACTCCATTGAGTGGGCCAGACCCAGTGAAGGCATAAGAAAGCAAGTTGCATTCAAACATTTAATATTTTCTTTTCTACTCTGTAACTTTGAGAAGAATTCTTCAAAGTGTGATAGCATGTTATCTGTAATTTTGCCAAGGATTGAATTTGAATTGGATGTACTGTGCAAATCTTGTGCAAACCCCAGTCACTTAGCAGGTGAGTAAACTGTACTTGGATGTCAGTTGACTAATAGCCCAATAAAAGTAAGGGGGTGATTTGATTTTAAACTGCAGTAATAGAAATACAGTATCCAGAACAAAGCAGATAATAGTTCTTTACTCCTCACTTAAATACACTCTGAGTTATGTTTATTGACAAAGGACACAATGACTGGAACACTGCTAGAAGATTCGTGAGTATGCTAAAAACTATGTCAAAGCTGATAGAGATGGCTTAGAAAAAAATCATGAGCTTCAAGGCTAATTTATTCTCTCGAGCTGATTCTGCCTTACCTCTTTTATGCTTCTAGCAAGAGTTATGGTAAGCTTCAAAAATTAATAATTTTCCCCACTCAGGAAATAGAAGTAGTAGCTTGCTTTAGCATTATAGTCTTCTGTAGTGCTTAAAATTAGAAAATGTAGGTACCATATCAGTAGTTTTTATGCCCTCTTAAGCCCTTAAAAAAAGGTATAAAAGGGTGAATCTTCCCTATTCATGTTGTCTTGCACTTTGTAAGCAAAATTCAAAATTATTCTTGCTACTTAGAAATTTCAAGGGAAAACTGTTTAGATAGTTCCATTTTGGGGTAGGTACATTCAGTTTCTTTGCTGTCCTTATCTTCATGCATACTATGCTGTGACCCTGTTTTTCTGTTTCTCCCTCTCTCTATCCATATTCTGACTTTGTGTTTTATTTTACTGCCTTTATTTACTAGAACCCTTGATTATTTTTTGTTTGTTGTGAATATGACCTTCAAGAAACCAAAGAGTTACCTTCCTTGATTAGAGCTAATAGCCAAGTAAAATATTTTGGTCCTTAAAGAATGTTACTTAGAATAAATGCTACATTCATTCTTTAAGTATCTGTACTAATGCAGAAGAATATTTATGCAAATTATGAACAGCTGGATGTGGGAGTTCCTACTTGCCATAGGATCATGTGATTTCTGGTAATAGATCTAAGAGTAACAAGACAGTCTTAAGTGGGAGTGATTGATTAATGTTATTTTTTTTTTCTGCTTGTACTGATTCTTGACTTTTAAATTATAATTAAAAACTTTCCCATCTTAGACTAGTAAATATTGCCACAGGTTGAGCATCCTTAATCCAAAATTCTGAAATTTGAAATGTTCTAGAATCTGAAACTTTTTGAGCACTGATATGATGCTCAAAGGAAATGTTCATTTTAGCATTTTAGATTTTGAATTAGGCATGCTCAACTAGTATGAATATGCAAATATTCCAAAAAAAAAAAAATTCCAAAATCTGAAGTAATTCTGGTCCAAAGCATTTTGGATATAGGATACTTAACCTATATTATAGTGCTAATAATTATTTCCATACAGGGAGAATTTCAGTTTTCTTCTTTTTTTAAAAAAAGAATGAAATTTGGAGTAATTTTAAGGAAATACTTACTACTCATGTCCAGTCTCTGTCTCCTTACAACTTTGTCCATCCTCAGGATGTTGTCTTCTAACATTTCCATTATGACAGCTCAGCTCAGATAGCAAGTGGTCAGAAAAGCCATTCAAGGAGTCTGGACAACAAAGGGTCAAAGAATAAAGACATTAGGTGTGAGCAACAAACCCAGTCAAGTTAGAAGATGAGGACTTTTGGACCTGAGAACTGAAGCTATTTCTTCCTGCCCAAGGGTTTCTGAAGTTTGCTGTTCAGGTGGCGGGGCTTAGTTATGTCATACATGACAGTCTGACAAAGGGCTGCTCTAGTACTTTAACTTCATTCATCTTGCAGATTGTGAAATGTAGTTGATCACTTGCCCTGTGTTCCCAGTCGCCCATGGACTCTGTACTCAACATGCATCCCTTCCAAACTGATTGTCCATCTAATATTAACAGTCTTAAGAGTACTACCATCTTTCATTCATCACCTGGTCATCTCAGCTTTTCCCCTTCTCTGTCCATTCCTCTTTCCTTTGAAATGTCTCCCTCAGCGTCCACTTTATGCCTTTATTGCTACTATTCTCCTTGCCCTAAGTGTCTTACCTATGATCAACTATATGTACATTCTCTTTACCATTAAAAGTAGGTTCTAGAATACTATTTATAAAATCTTTTAATTCCAAAGAGTCTAAGAAGCAGTTTAGTCCTGCCTGTTTAGTCTATAGATAATTATAGCATATGGGAATCAGTCTTTAGAAGCTTTAAAACTTAAGTATACTTTTCTTCTCTGTGTTATTATAGATTCTGTACCGTTTCTCTCCATGGTAATATAGGACCAATAATTTGTTTCTTTTCAAAATAGACCACTTTGTCTTCATTGAAAGGTTATTGAAGCAGCTCCTTTCCATCCCCCTAGTAATTATTCTGGGTGTCATAGGGAGCTCCTTAGTGGACAGAAGTTTTCCTTAAGTGGTTAGGAGTGCGGCTTCTGAAGCCTGTTGCCTGTGTTCATTTCCACCTGTTAACACTTCCTAGTTTTTTGTGACCTTAGGAAAATTACTTAATTTCTCTGTGCCTACATTTTTTCCTTTATCTGTTAAATAGAGATAATAATAGTAAGTATTAAATGAGAAAAGACAAAAGAAAGAAAAGTACCTGACAGTAAGAAAGAGCTCAATAAATGTTAGCTAATTTTATAATATTATCATCAACCAGGGATCTGCAGATTTGACTGCACAGCTCACTGTGATGATATTCACAGGCCTTGGACTTATGAACCATAAACTTGTGACTGGCAGCAGAAATCTCATCCTTAGCACTGTGCTCTGTACTTAGTCTTTAAGTTTTCAAATTGCTACTGTTTTCCTAAATTAGCAGTGAGCCAGTAAGTGTTTGATTTTCATGTTAATCATATAACTGCATATCATAATTCTTCCATGTTTGGTGCCTCTCATTGTTTGCTTGGGCACAATATTTTCCATGTATTGCATGATTCACTTGTTCACCTTCAGAATCATTCTTACTCTTAGCCCATGTGGTCATTCAACAGACACCATTTGCTAATTAATTTTTTATTTTGGAGCTGGTGTTTTGTTTTTGAATATGTTTATTTTCATTGGAATCAAACCCTTCTTACTAGTTTTCAATGCTTGGAATTGCTTTTGTGCTCATCAACCATATTGAAATTAATAATATTTATAAGACACTCTATATAGTACTCTGAAAAATGAGATGGCCAAATGTGATGACCACTGTTACCTATAAATGTATCCTTTGCTCATGAACAGGATGAGTATGATTTTGCTGCATAGTGAAACTTTCATAAAATAAAATTTTACAAAAAGAGGAGCTTCTGTGTTTGCTTTTTAGTTCATCTCTACCTCACCCATTTCTCTTCACACAATAATCTTTACAAAATATTTGGATCACATTATTTCCTTTTGTAGTAAGTCAACCTTGGCTTGACTAGTGTCTTTGCAATTGAGTCATTAAATTCTTCTGACTAGTTTGGAAGGTGCTTTTAATGCTGGCTCTATCTACTTCTGTTCTCGGAAAGAAATCTTTTGTTTATGGCAGTATAACCCTCCCTGTTCTATACTTGTATAATGCAGTTTTTTTCTGGGCCTTTGTTTGTGTTTAATAATATAACATATTTAACTTTACATGTTATACTTTGCTTAGAATTACTTTAGATACATAATATATCATTTAGTAATATATTGTCATATTAACTGTTATTATGTTTCGGGGATTCAGTTAATAAGCATACATCATTGTTACAAAACTATAATTTCTTTGAGGGCATGAATTCTCTCTACTTTTGTGCCCTTCATATGTGTCTTATGAAGTTTAGGTGATCAGTGAACATAGCAGATTTTTACTTGTATTTCAGTTTTGTGATTTATTAAAATTAAAGACACAAAGATTTTATGTCACTTTTAGTATCAACTTCATTAAATGTCAACCCTTGTCAGTTTTGAAAAGAAATTCAGTCTATCTGTGGAACAAGAAATTGTACTTTTCTTTTTCTTTTTACATTCAGCTCTAATTATAAATTTCTTTGCCTACTTCTTTTTTCCAGGCTTTAGAAACCATGAAATCTCAGATTGCAGGGCAGTTTATTTGACATTATTTTGAAGCGATCCTCTCCTGTCCCATGTGATAGAGGTGGTTTGAACACTTCAACTTTTTAAATGATTGCTTTAAAGATAATAAGTATGATGCATTAATCTAGTTTTAAAACCACAGTTCTATGCTTTTTTGTGAAATTATTGGCGTAGTATCAGGATTAACATGAAGTCTTGAATGTTTCTCAATAAATTAATTTTGATTGTTTTTTAAACTATACAATGAGATCTTTGTATTTTAAACCAGGAAACTAATATCAAAATGTTATTAAGAACTCCATTAGAGAATCTCTGCCTATCCATTCTTTAATTAATTCTCACTTTCTTAATTGACAGCATACATGATAAATAACAAACAATATGTATTTAGTTAGCCCTTTACTGTACCTTAACCACTAGCATTGCAATAATGCCATTGTCTTTTATTTTTCATTTCATATCTCCTGTATACTAGGTCTACTATAAATTAAACAGACTTTTGGGGGCTAGTTAGATAACCTAACCACTGTGTATTTTTACAAAAAAGATACTACCCAAGTTTAAAAATTGCTATCTTTTGAATGAACATTTAGAACCCCTTTAATTTGGGGATTTCTATGTCTTGAATTATGGGAAATTTTAAGTTGAGATGAGTATTATCATCATCCAAAATACTTGGACATTTGTTTATATCTAAAGATACTGACCAAAGTGAATTAGATAGGTGACTTTTGTAAATGTTTGTGTTCCAAGAACAAAATATTAATACTGGCAATTAAGAGATGTATTAAGGAAGCAAAATGAACAGAGACTAACATATAGTCATTTCTGCCATAGCACCATATATGTGTTCCTGAAAAACCTCACATTTTGTAAAATCACACACTGAAATAACAAGTTATAAGAAAAGTAGCCAGGCTCAGTGACTTACTCCTGTAATCCCAGATACTGAGGAAGCTAAGGTGAGAGGATCATTTGAGTTCAAGGAGTTCAAGGCTGCAGTTAGCTATGATTGTGCCACTGTACTGTGGCCTGGGTGAAAAAGCAAGGCCCCAGGTATTTAAAAAAAAAATTGTTGAAATGTTGTCACAGATCACTTACAACTATGTAACTTTGTAGGTATAACTCTAACAAATAAGGTATCAGTCTGAATACAGCGAAGTCACATATCTGTGAACATTTGCAGTTAGAATTAGTCTGTATTCTGCAGTTATATCCTTAGGTTCCTTCTTCCCCCTTAAGGACATTTGCCTCTAATGGAGACCAATTTAATGAAAACTAAAAATATACTTCAGACATATCTTTCATCAGTTAAGGTATATTTTGTTTTGTTTTCATAGTGGTGTGATGTTTTCACATCTCCATCTACATTTGCAGCTTCTCAAGGTAGCTTATTATGAAAGAAAGCCAAGTAGTTCTTTAAGCCAGAAAAGTAACCATTTTTTTTATAGTAAAGGAAGGTGCTTCTTTATAGGGTTTTAATATTTTTTCTTAAACTGTGAAAACTTCTACCTCTGGTTATTTCAGATCATCAGCATGCTGGGAATAAAATCTTAAACAATTTTGTGTTATACTGACAAGATTCCTTTATTTGCCAATTACATACAAACCAATTCTTATTTAAGAATTAACCAGACCATAGCTAAAATGATTATATATAAGCAATAGAAAAGGCATGAATTGAATAAATGTAGGTAAAAGAAGGTCAGGTTTGATGTATCATAAATTGGGAGTATAGTCAAAATCTAGAAAGATGAGATTCAAGCCAGCAAAACCATATAAACATTTTGGTTTAAAACAAAAGAGATTCATTCCTAAAGTAAGGTTTTGTAAATATCTATGCCAGCCCCATCTTTACTTTGGCTTTTACTCATGTCAGATAACCAGTTAACTGTGACATAATTTCTCATTCTTTCCAGAGCATAATGGTTCCTAGCACTTCATAAACAATCACGGCCCTCTTTCCCACTTGGCCTGAACGCAGCTTTAGTAGCCATCTCAGTACAGCATCCCAGGCATTACTACCGACCATTCTGATTTGGCATATCATGTGGTGTTATTTATTAACATTTTACTATAACCAAGCAATGTACTTTATCCTTTACCAAAATAATTGTATTTAATCTTGCAACACACTGTGTAGCTAGGTGATTTTAATCCCCATTTACAAGGGAAGAAATGGAGGCTTAAATTTTATCAACTTGATTGCTATAATAAGCCACCTCAGATCTTTTTAAAAGGTATAACGTAAAATGAATAACAAAGAAGAAATGAAATTACATTTTCATTTGATAGTAGTTGCAGGAGTTAGGACTGGGAAGTCGTTTATAAAGCATTGAGAAAATAGAGGACTCAGAGGAGGCCAATTGGAAGATTGGGGCAGATGTGTAGGAGTTAAAACAGGCTTTGGTTCCCTAAGAGGTGGTGAAGACAGGCTCAATTTCTGACTTTGAAATTTCCAGTTTTAATTGCTGTGAGGCCTGGCTTTACTTTGTTTCCTGTCCTTGAAAATCCTTACAATTGCCTGTGGTATTCTTAAACTAAATTTCCTTTTTACTGAAGTGCTTACTCCATCAGCCAAATGATGCCTAAGACAATGTAGAATCAGAATATAGGATAAAGAGAAGGATTTAGGAAATACACAGTTCTGATCATGTTGAATTTGAGGTTAGAATGTGTGGCAGGCATTTGAATATACAAACCTCTGGGTTAGGGATTTTAAACTCATGACCCATAGATCATAGTTGAAATTGTAGGAGTAGCTGAGATCTTCCATTGAGAGTGCAAAGAGCAAAGGGTTTAGGGATGAGCTGCAAATGACCAGTAAATCCGGGGCTGGCTAAGGAATTGCAGGAACTAGTAACAGAGAACCAACACAGAACAGTCAGAGTTAGGAGGAGAACCACAAGAGGTGATGTCTGCAAAGTCAAGGTAGTACATTATCAAGAATAAAAGAAAATCGGTGTCAAGTTCTCCAGAAAGATCAAGTACTTTGGAAACTGAGGGTTCATTGGATTTGGCAGTGATGTCAGTGATGGCTTTTGCCTGCTAGCAGGGTTTCCAAGTGGGGGGGGGTGAGGTAAGAATTGGAAGTCTGATTTCAGTGGGTCAAAGAGATAATGCAAGGTAAGAAAATAAAAAATTTGGCCGGGCGCGGTGGCTCACGCCTGTAATCCTAGCTCTCTGGGAGGCCGAGGTGGGCGGATTGCTCAAGATCAGGAGTTCGAAACCAGCCTGAGCAAGAGCGAGACCCCGTCTCTACTATAAACAGAAAGAAATTAATTGGCCAACTAATATATATAGAAAAAATTAGCCGGGCATGGTGGTGCATGCCTGTAGTCCCAGCTACTCGGGAGGCTGAGGCAGCAGAATCGCTTGAGCCCAGGAGTTTGAGGTTGCTGTGAGCTAGGCTGACGCCACGGCACTCACTCTAGCCTGGGCAACAAAGTGAGACTCTGTCTCAAAAAAAAAAAAAGAAAATAAAAAATTTATCCGTGCATCCTGATGAGCTGTCAGAAATATATTAGAAATACATCATGATGATGAGAAGAGATGTGTGATTGAGGGCTGAAGTAGACCTTAGAGATATTAAAATAGCAGTGCCTTCTTTTAACACAATAGGAAACTATGGTATCTGAAATACTTTGTTAAAAAGAAAGAAAAAAAAAATAAAAAAATAAAAAAAAATAGGAAACTAATACCCAAAAAGGTTTAGTAGTTTACACTATGGCAAAGCCAGTAAGAGGCAGATAGAACAGACAGTACCTTGGTCTTCTGATTCCAAATCTTCCAGTATATATGGGCAAACTCTTAACTGGAAAGGGAGGGAAAAATTGTTTTAATAGTTGCTTTTGGCACTTGCAATTTATTCTTTCTTAGATATAGAGGGCAGTAAGTTATGGTTATGTTAGGGTATATTTATCTACATACCAAATGTACTGTACCTGCAGAAATGTGTTGGTAAAAAGCCACTGGCTAAATCTGAAACAAAATTCTAAATTCAGTCATTTGCAAATGTTCAAGACTAAATCAATATATATATTTATAACCAATTCAGGGAGAAACCTTATCCTATGGTTTTGTTTTTGATTAGGGAGGATCATTAATATTTTAAAATAATATTATAAAAGTATGTATTGAATTAGGAAAGTACTGAATTTTAAAGTAACTGTTCTTATTTATAGGGGGATATGTCATATCCTTTGGCCGTTGTGTAAAAATAAAATATTAACAAAATGTATTTTTTTAAGTATCATACTAGCATCTTACTTTAACTTTAGTTTTTGGTATAAGAGCACCACCTATGGGTTTCTCATGTATTTGGATTTTTTTTCTTAACACCTGATAAAACAAAAACATAATAAAATTCTTTCTCGTTTTTGTCTATAATTAATCTATCCATTTATTTAAAAGTTAGCAATTTTCTGCCTTGTTATAAATTACTCCCACCTAGTTTTTGGCTGTGTCTCACTGCTATTAAATCAGCTGTTTTTGAATACTTATATGCTAATACAGTGTTATAATTCTGAGTTAAATATAACTTAACTCAAAATTGTATTATTTAATGTAGATGAATCTTTTAATGAAAATGAACAATGTTCTATATTCTGGGGAAGGGGTAATGAGTATTTTTGCCTGTTTATTTGTATGTTTATTTATTTCTTCCTGAACTTAAGTATTCCTTTAGCATATTACTCCAGAATACTTTAGTTAAGAGATAATGAAAAAGATCATCTTATAAATGACTTACGGTATTTTTTCATTAAATTACTGTAATGATAACTCAGAATGAAGTAGAAGCAAAACTTTGCCACTTTATTATTAATAAGCTCTTAAAATAAAATTACATTTGGATAATTTTAGTTTTTTAAAAAAACATTGTTCATCAGAATTAAAATTTTTTTTAAGGGAAATTTACTCCTAATGAAACTGACGGGAATGACAACAGCAAAAAATAATTTGAAAGCTTTGACTATGCCTGGGCAATGAGGTGTATGCTAAGTTCTTGGTGTATCTGTGTGTTCTGTGCCACGAATATCTATGTTCTAAAAAGTGATTCAAAACAAGATCTCTTTGGTAAGGTATCCTAATTCAGGGTAGATCCATTTTAAGCATGAATATTTTTCTGCAGTAGAATAAATATACTTTTAAATCCTGGAATGCATATTTTCTTCAGGAAATGTGGTGTTCTACAGAAAGAAGGATTGACTTTAAGCAATATAGTTTGTTTTATTTTGATCATTATGGATAAAGTCTTTAAATTACATAGTAGACTTTCTATTAATAGCATTCTTAACCTAAATTGAACAGACTATATTATACTCACACACACACACAAAAAAATGTTGCTGGGAGCAGTAGTGCACTTCTAGTTCTAGCTATTTAGGAAGCCGAGTCAGGAAGATCACTTGAGCCAGGAATTCAAGGCTGTATTGCACTGTGGTCACACCTGTGAAGAAAATAGCCACTACAGTCCAGCCTGGACAATGTAGCAAGACTCCATTTCTTTAAAAAAAAAAAAAAAAAAGATAATGTTTCCACATTACGGTTGTAATAGGGATATTTGGCTATTATTAGGTTACCTGATATTTAAACTATAGCTGAACTCAAAAAGCATGGGTGTTCATGCCATATGTTGTACCAGACACTTTGCTTACACTGATTTGTTTATTCACTCAATAACTCTTTTAAATAGGTATGAATATTAATAATTTATTAATTATTATTTTATAATACAACAGTTTTACTTTTTGGAAGACAGGCAATAATATACATATTCTGAGCTCATGGTTTTTGAGTTCAGCATGTAGATTTTATTATTTTTCTGAAAATTGCCTTACGACTTCCAATAAGTGTCTTACATACCCCTGGCAGCTACTCTCCTCACTTCTAATTTGCTGCTTCTGATCTGTTACTTTAAAAATCAAGTAATCTAATTTGTTGAAATTGTGTTAAATAATAGGTTCTAGGATTTTAAATTCTACTGAAGGCTTAAACATTCATTGCATGTTTAATTGGGGGAGAATAAATTGTCAGATTATCAGCTGAATTTTGGATAATGCTAACTATATTAAAATGAGAATTCAAAATACAAGAATAATAATCCAGGGAAGTGTTGGTATTAGTTTCAATTTATTCCATATGCATGAAGCTTTTCTTCTGTGATATTCAGATATCTAATCACATAATGATATTTTAATCACTGACTATTTCAAGACTTTATTTTTAAATAATTTAGGAATCATTCATGACCCTGTAATAAAGTTTGGAAGTATTAATGGAATAAATTGAAGAACCACTTTGCAGTACTTCTGAATGTTTTGCTGTCTTTATTGAATCATCCACTAACTTCTTAACAAAAATTACAATGCAGCATTATATCCTTAAGTTTATTTAAAGTAGCCTAAAAGCAACATGGTACTCCTAAGGATTTAAACAAAGTGGTTGAGAAATATTGGAAAAGTAGTTTAAGAAATTTAAAAGATGTGTTTTGAAAAAGGATGGATGGGTGGATCAATCTCCATGGCTAAAACCATAGTCCTGACTCTTGAACCATTATTCAGTGATTCAATATGAAAATGTCCTTGCCTGCCCAAAATGTGTACAGTAGTCCCCCCTTATCCATGGGGAGAGGAATGGGATACAATCCAAGACTCCTAGTGGATGCCTACAACTACAGATAGTACCACCCCTGATGGCTGTCAAATCCAATGCCTTTTCCATCTTAATTAAGCACTTATCGTGTACTGTGGCCATAACTTTTGCAATTTGAGATGTGACAGCAAAACTAGCATGCATTTATTTTTTTTCCTTCACAATTTCATGGGTAGAAGATTCATCCTTACTGTGGATTTTAACAACCTCAGCATATGATTTTTTTTTCTTTCATTATTAAGTGGAGAACTTTTATCTAAAGGAAATACTTTCTGGCTCCTGTTTCAATTGTCAGTATCACTACTCTTGCTCTTTGAGGTCATTATACAGTAAAATAAGGGTTATTTGAACACAGCACTTCAATACCAGGACAGTTGATCTGATAACCAAGATGGCTACCAAATGACTGATGCATGGGTAGCATATACAGCATGGAAGCGCTGCTATGCAAAGGGTGATTCATGTCCTGGATGGGGACAGAGTAGGATGGAGCAGGATGGTGAGAGATTTCATCAGATTTCAGAATAGAGCACAATTTTAAGCTTTATGAATTGTTTTTTTCTGGAATTTACCATTTAATATTTTTGAACCACTGTTGACCTCAAGTAACTGAAACTGTAGAAAGTAAAACCTAAGATAAGGGGTGCTACTATACTTAATTAGGATAAGGTACTTTGTCTGAAAGGGAGGAAATTGAAATATCTCATTAGAATCATAGCTTTTTAAGGTTGATACTACCATATTTTATTGTCTGTTACTTGATGTCTGAAATTTTGGTTTTTTTTTTTTTAACACTGATTTACCTAGTAGTAATGTGTTTTAAAATATAATAATTAGCTAAGATTGCTTTGGCTATCTGTCTTCCAGCTTGTGGAGAGACTCCAGAACAAATTCGAGCACCAAGTGGTATAATCACGAGCCCAGGCTGGCCTTCTGAATATCCTGCCAAAATCAACTGTAGCTGGCTCATAAGGGCAAACCCAGGGGAAATCATTACTATAAGGTAATTCTTATGCCTTTCTATATTATTATATAATATTTTAGTATAAAATATAAATTCAGTTTTCCAGTAATATTACTTAACATGCAGTAATATAAAAAGGAGAGTTTTTCAGAAGATATAATAAATGATAGCTATCAATATCATCTGAAGAATAAGAATAATGGACCATCTGCCATGTGTTTTGAGCATTTTCTAACATATTTGCAATAAGCCATCTCTATTTTTCTCAGCTACTTTTTAACAAAAGGTACACATTTGGAAAATAGCTTATAAGGATCAAGAGTAATCTTGGGCAGTGGGACAAATAAACTCACTAATCCACTTAGAGACCTAGCCCATATCCTTGGTCTCATTAATAGAGCCTTCTACCTAAATGAGTTAAAACATGATTGTAGATGCATATCTGTGTATATTTATGCACGTATGTATAAAACTTGAAACAAGCTGATTATGAATAAATTCTATATCTAGAAAAATCTTTTTGTAATAACTTGGAAACAAAAGAACATTTATTAGGAATACAAATTGAAAGGCATTCCTAGGAGAAATTACTATAAGGTTAAGATTCTAAGAATAAATGTGATATAAATAAGGGAGGTTAAGATTAAATTTAAAAACATTAGTGACTTACTTGTAGAGAAAAACAATGTAGGAATAAGATATTGAAGAGAAAGTAGTAGAACTAGATATTGCTTGCTTAGGAAAATTATATCAAGGCCATTAGAAAAAAATATTTACTAATAGGGGAAAAAATAGTGTACCTGAACAAGGAACTGCAGCTTATAGTGAAAGAAATAAGAATTCCATTCCCATCACAGAGACAGTGTAGCCACGAAAGAACCTTCCACATCCTTTCATGTGTAACATTTTATGGGTAGGAATCATGCAGTTTCAGATTTGGAAGGGACTTTGGAGATATAAATTCAAATTCCTTCGTTTTACATTTTTTAAAATAAGGCTCGTAAATGTAGCCTACTTTCTCATCTTTCTCTGTATTCTTTTTTAGTACTTATTGCTTAATAAAGAAACCAGTCTTGGGAAACATAACTGTCGTCTGTCCCCCTTTTTTCTGCAAAGGCCATAGACACAGGCCATATAGTTTGTTTTCTTTTTAGTCCCCTCTGCCCTAGGCTATACCTCCTGGAACCCAGGAGCTTGGCACATCTGGAAGCTGTTGTTCTCCATGAAAAGTTTGATTCTCCTGATTGATTAGTAGGATGTATCATTAAGGTTATTTTTCTACAATAAGATCAGTGTTAGAATCTAAACAATATGCTTATTTTCTGTTGTAATATGACCAAGTATAAATGTGTTTACAAATAACATTTTTACCAAATATTAGATTTTTTAACACAAAACTAGGATTTATAGGGATTTTCATCTTTTAACCTAAAAAGTAAACTTGCAGCTTACCAGCTCAGTTATGTAAAACTTGGAAATTATTACCAGCACAGAAGAGATAACATGAAATACTACCATCTGGTTTTGATCATGTGTTGGCTTGAGATTTCACACAGTAAGATACACTAAAAACCAGGATAATACTAAAATGCAGAACAAAATTCAAGGTGAGCCCTACATCTAGAGGGAAATTTCCTAAATTCTAGAAGGAATTAATGAATTTGGATTTACACATATCAGAAAGTTATTTTAGGAATTATCTAGTACTTTACTAAAGTCATCATACCAAAACTTTAAGAAGATAACACACATGCATATACATAAAGACAGACAAGTTTTATGTGTGATAATTGGCACAAAATCTTAAATACTTGATTCAAAAGAATCATGTGCCATAATTAAATGCAGCTCTGTTAGATATACAAATGAGTATTAGAAAATATTAATTTATTATGTTAACAAATCAAAAAGTATATGATTATCTAGAGTACACAGATGCTTTAAAGCATTTTGGTAAAAAGAAAATCAGCATTCATTCTTGAACATAAAACAAAATTAAAATTCTTAGTAAAATGGAATTATATTTTTTTAAAGTCTACATAGAAGGAAACTAGAATTATGAGGTATAAACAATATTGAGAGCCCTTTATGTAAAACTGGCTAAAGATAATGAAATAAAGGCATTTTACTTCATTCCTCTCCCTTGAAACCCACCAAAATCAACAAAGGCCACCTTAACCATAGCAAATAGAGGATTAGATCCTAGCACCCTGCTTAAAAACTAGGACTAGGTTCAGGCAATTTTGCTAAGGAAAGGAGCCTGAAAGAAACTTCTAGTAACATGGGACTGAGAACTTAAGAGGTGACAGGACATATCCTAATAAATATGAATATTTGCCACCTAGTACCTCCATGACAGGATCTGTAAAACTCTGAACCACCATTTAAGACAGGTTCTGGAATGGTGGCCCAAGTATATGGGAACAAGGAGGTAGAGAGGATAAAAAACAGAGAGAACCAAAAAAGTCTACAAAATAAACCTGCAGCCCAAAATTTCAGAATGTATGAAAAAATTTAATGCTAAGGAAAACAGCCAACAAAATTAAGTTGAAACACAAATTTACTCCAAAAAAATTTTTTTTTATTTTTTTTTTTTTGAGACAGAGTCTCGCTTTGTTGTCCAGGCTAGAGTGAGTGCCGTGGCGTCAGCGTAGCTCACAGCAACCTCAAACTCCTGGGCTCGAGTGATCCTCCTGCCTCAGCCTCCCGAGTAGCTGGGACTACAGGCATGCGCCACCATGCCCGGCTAATTTTTTATATATATATCAGTTGGCCAATTAGTTTCTTTCTATTTATAGTAGAGATGGGGTCTTGCTCTTGCTCAGGCTGGTTTTGAACTCCTGACCTTGAGCAATCCGCCCGCCTCGGCCTCCCAAGAGCTAGGATTACAGGCGTGAGCCACAGCGCCCGGCCTTTTATTTTTTTTTATTTCAGTATATTATGGGGGTATAAATGTTAAGGTTATGTATATTGCCCATGCCCTCCTCCTTCGGGTCAGAGCTTCAAGCAAAAATTTTAATATTAATTTATGTCAGGGATTCTTTCTTACTCTTTTTTATGCCATGAACACTTGGTAATCTGGTGAAACCTATGTATTCTTTCCCAGAATAATGTTTTTAAATTCATAAAATAAAATATATAGTTTTACAAAGGGAACCCATTATATAAGGTACAGCTATCAGATATTTTTAAATATATATAATATAGTAATATATGCTTTTCTATTAACACATTATAAGATCAAGTGATGGTTCTAATAACTAATGTATTTTCAAAGTAATTTAAGTGTAAGTAGTATTTTTAGATATCTGTAAAAACTGGATTGTAATAGACTATCTCTGATTTCTGATAGAGGAGTGGCAGTTACTGTAAATAGTATCATGGTTTGTTGTTTATAAGTGAAGGAATTGCTACATTTTAGTGAGAGGTAAGTGAGAATAAAGTTGTAAATTGTTTCCACCCAATTTGAGAGAATAGAAACACTGACTATTCTTATTTGGCCTTTGTCAGGAAAAAAAATGTGCTTTGGTGTTTGAATTTAAATATCAAAAGGTAACTACTGATAAAAATAGAAATGATATTGAGCATTTGGTAGAGGAAAAGAAACTTTAAAACAAAATTATTCACAGAAAGACAGGAAAGGAGAAAAACAAGAACTCTTCCCCCATAGAAAAGGCTATTAAATAAAACACAGAAATATATTAACTCAGACCTCAAAAAGACCAATAATCCTACTGGGTGTATTGGTTGGTTGGTTTGTATGATTGTGCTAATAGGGGACTTGTAAGAACATACCTAAAACAGAAAGTCTAAAAAAGCAGGGGATAGAAGAAGGCTAGCTTTGGAGATACTAATCAAAAGAAAGCTAGTATAGGAAGATTAACGTCAGCTATAATTGAGCTTAAGTCACAAAATATTAATAACAAATAGGATAATCTACCAGGAAGCTATAATATAGTAGTTTTCATGTACCTGATAACATAGCCTAAAATTCATGCAAAGCAAAATGTGGAGAATTACCCAGCAAGTTTGACTAATCCACAATTTGAGTGGGAGATTTTTAATGTACTTTTAAATGTTTATAAATCTGTTTCAACAGAGAATACACATTGTTTTTAAAGACATGGAAAATTTTATAAAAAATTGATTATATATTAAATCACAAAGGAATTCTTAGTACATTTCAAAGACTCTCCATCATTCAGATTGTGTTTTCTTACCAAGGTGCAAATTAAAAGAATAAAAATAACAAAACCTGTATATTTGGAAACATATTCCTAAATAACTCATGCATTAAAGAGGAAATCATAATAGGACTAAATATTCTTAAAGTAACCATAGTAAAAGTATTACATATTAAAACTATTGTAACACATTGAAAGAGTACTTAGAGAAAAATTCACAGCTTTAATGCACTGTTTTAAATTAGAGAAAAAATAGGCCAGGCGCGGTGGCTCACACCTATAATCCTACCACTCTGGGAGGCAGAGGCAGGTGGATCACTCAAGGTCAGGAGTTCAAAACCAGCCTGAGCAAGAGCGAGGCCCCGTCTCTACTAAAAAGAGAGAGAAATTAATTGGCCAACTAAAAATATGAAGAAAAAATTAGCTGGGCATGGTGGCATATGTCTGTAGTCCCAGCTACTCGGGAGGCTGAGACAGAAGGATTGCTTGAGCCCAGGAGTTTGAGGTTGCTGTGAGCTAGGCTGACACCACAGCACTCTAGCCTGGGCAACACAGAGAGACTCTGTCTCAAAAAAAAAAAATTAGAGAAAAAAATAAAGACAGCATTTAATTCAAGAGTTTAGAAAAGGAACTATAGGGTAAAATAGAAATAAAGATAAGATCAGAAAAATAAACAATAAGATTCAATAAAACAAAATGGCTTTCTGAAAAACTTGGGAAAATAGACAAAGCTAAAGGCAAGACTGAAGAAAAAAGAGAAAAGATACAAATAAAAAATCAGCAAAAGTATCTATAGTTATAACATTTTAAAAGACAGGAATATTATAAGGAGTTTTATGTTAATGCTTTTATAATTAGATGAAATGGCTTATTTTCTAGAAAATATGAATATACAAAAATTGATTCAAGAAGAATTAGAAAACTGATGAAATCAGTAACCACTAAAGAAATTGAATCATATTCAGAAATAAGACCTAAATCGTTTTATAAGTAAATTTTATCAAATGAATATAAAAGTAATTTCCTTAACCTGTAAGGATGTCTATCAAAAAATTTTTAAAAAGCAAACTTAATGTTGAAGTTAATTTCAGCACCAAGGACCAAGACAAGGATGTGTGCTTTCCCTGTTCATACTGGAGCTCCTAGTCAATGCAAAAGATAAATAAGAAAAGTGAAGGGACAAAACTTACTTGCCAGTAGTATATTTGTTTTAAGCAATTTAAAGCAAATTTAAAGACCACAGATGGGGGCAGAAAAACTTTGAGTTGTATGAAAATACTGTGTACAGATTTTGGACTGGTAATTTTGTTTCGAACACAGAACAATTGAGATGTTAGAAGTCGTCCTTTCTTAAACACATGCAAAAGAAAAAGATGCCAACTGTTACCTTTTTTTAGCATTATTATGGAATCTGACATTACTTATGAAGTAGTAGTATTGTGCTAGAATCAGGGGAAGAGATTAGGAACATAGATGCGGTATTATTATTTGCTAATGATATGGTCGTATTACCTGGGAAACCCAGGAGAATCAATGAATGTATGGATGCTTATGAGAATGTCCTCAGTTATACTGTATTATTATGAATATTTTTCTAAAATTGCTTTTTTTTAATAGCCATTTCTGATTTTTTTTTTTTGTAGTTTTCAGGATTTTGATATTCAAGGGTCCAGAAGGTGCAGCTTGGATTGGTTGACAATAGAAACATACAAGAATATTGAAAGTTACAGAGCTTGTGGTTCCACAATTCCACCACCATATATCTCTTCACAAGACCACGTCTGGATCAGGTTTCATTCGGATGACAGTATCTCTAGAAAGGGTTTCAGGCTGGCATATTTTTCAGGTGTGTTTTTAAATAAGAAGAAAGATACTGAACCAATTTCCATGGTATTAATTGCTCATTCACTTAAGAGCTAATCTAAACAATGTCCATTTAATGATGACTAGCCTCTCGGGGGAGCTGAGATTGAGGATTAGAAGTGAAGGTTAGATACCCTAGAACTGGGTTTCCAAAAGGTGGTTTGCATGACTCTAATAAAATGATGAATTTCATAAACTAAGGTTAATTTTCTTTTTAAACATCTTAAATACATTTATTTGAAAAATAGCTTTTTCTTACTAAAGTGCTCACCCATATCCTGAAAGTTATTTCAGAATGTATTTTTTGGAAGAAATTCAAAATCAAAAGTTAAGCCCAAAAAAAAAAAATTTATTTTGCTTTTCTTAAACTGTATCCAGGAAGAGTGACCAGATCATAGAAATTCAGAGGATTAGTTGTATACATTTCTTGTTGAAAATTACTTTCCATCTTTTGAAATTACAAAGTCTTCTTTAGCAAACATGTGCTACCTTTTATCTTTTTTTCTTAAAAATGCCATCTTTTTACTATTTATATAGCTTTGAAACATATTTTCTGTCACCTGTTAATAAGTTGTTTAGTGGCAAAGTATTGGCCCAACATTATTAATTTGAGGACTGTAGAAATCTAATATTATTTGATTGTCTTTCCCTACCTCATTATTGTTATATATTTGGGATGGTGCACTCAAGTAATAATTAGAATTCTATAGGCACCTCAATTTTTTTCTCTCCCTTTCTTCTGTTTATTTTGATGAATACATTTATACCTTTAGCTCAGATTCATGCAATATTTTACAGTTGTGTTAAAACTTAAAGTATTGTATTATGATTACATGAAACATAAATAGTATAAAATTAATCTTATAATCTTAGCAAAAGTTTTAGTCTAACTTGGGCTTAATCGACATTTATTATAAAAATACCACTTGCTGCTGTTAGTTTTTTGAAGAGTATATTTTTTTCTCCTTTCCTCTCCATCTCCCTTCTACATGTATCTTCCCAGGGAAATCTGAGGAACCAAACTGTGCTTGTGATCAGTTTCGCTGTGGCAATGGAAAGTGTATCCCGGAAGCCTGGAAATGTAACAACATGGATGAATGTGGGGATAGTTCTGATGAAGAGATCTGTGCCAAAGAAGCTAATCCTCCAACAGCTGCTGCTTTTCAACCCTGTGCTTACAACCAGTTCCAATGTCTGTCCCGTTTTACCAAAGTTTATACTTGCCTCCCAGAATCGTTAAAATGTGATGGGAACATTGACTGCCTTGACCTAGGAGATGAGATAGACTGTGATGTGCCAACTTGTGGGCAGTGGTTAAAATATTTTTATGGTACTTTTAATTCTCCCAATTATCCAGACTTTTATCCTCCTGGAAGCAATTGCACCTGGTTAATAGACACAGGTGATCACCGTAAAGTCATTTTGCGCTTCACTGACTTTAAACTTGATGGTACTGGTTATGGTGATTATGTGAAAATATATGATGGATTAGAAGAGAATCCTCATAAGCTTTTGCGTGTGTTAACTGCTTTTGATTCTCATGCACCTCTTACAGTTGTTTCTTCTTCTGGACAGATAAGGGTACATTTTTGTGCTGATAAAGTGAATGCTGCAAGGGGATTTAATGCTACTTACCAAGTAGATGGCTTCTGTTTGCCGTGGGAAATACCCTGTGGAGGTAACTGGGGGTGTTATACTGAACAGCAGCGTTGCGACGGGTATTGGCATTGTCCAAATGGAAGAGATGAAATCAATTGTACCATGTGCCAAAAGGAAGAATTTCCGTGTTCCCGTAATGGTGTCTGTTATCCTCGTTCTGATCGCTGCAACTACCAGAACCATTGCCCAAATGGCTCAGATGAAAAAAACTGCTTTTTTTGCCAGCCAGGAAATTTTCATTGTAAAAACAATCGTTGTGTGTTTGAAAGCTGGGTGTGTGATTCTCAAGATGACTGTGGTGACGGCAGTGACGAGGAGAATTGCCCAGTAATTGTGCCTACCAGAGTCATCACTGCAGCCGTCATAGGAAGCCTTATCTGTGGCCTGTTACTCGTCATTGCATTGGGATGTACTTGTAAACTTTATTCTCTGAGAATGTTTGAACGAAGGTCAGTATCAAGACAGAAATGTAGTGGTTGTGCACCCAAAAAAAAAAACAGGTCCAAATATTTGAAAAAAGTACTTTGATTAGTAATATATTTTTGTTTTATATGAGTTTAGAAATGGATAAAGATTGTTTATGACATATAAAATTAGTGTGAAAAGCCCAAGACTCAAAAGGCTAAACACATTACAAACTAAATACTTAGGAGAAAAGCAAATATATTTACCAGCTCCTGTTTTCAAGTTAGTCTGGTTTATAGGAATTTTGTAAGCTGCTACTCTGAGTTGCAGTGTTTTAACCTGTATTTTTGTAAATATTAATTCAGTAATTACAGATTTTTAGAAACCTATGTTCAAAGCACTATACAAGTGAATAGAAAAATGAATAAGGCATAATATCACAAGCAGTTTACAATTAGGAGGAAGGAATTGGTGCAGGTGCTGTAAGAGCTATAAAACAGTGGTGTAAGAGTCAAAACTGCCCAGTCTAATGGGAGGCAGTGGAAAGGCTTTAACTGGAGAGGTGCCATTTGAAATGTATGCGTGGAATAAGTGTTGTGGTTAATAGCTTGGGAAAATATATAGAAGTAGGAATGCCCAGCATTGCTGAGAAGTAAGAGCATAGTTCAACTTATCTGGAGCCTAGGATATGTGCGAAAGACTAATAGGAGATAAGACTAGAACACCAGGCTAGTTTCTTGCAGTAGGGTTCAGTGAGAGCCACACATCAGCGTTCCCAGTTCAGTAAGAAGTGGCTAACTATTAAAAGGTAACCTTCAAGGCTGAGTGTGGTAGCCTACACTTGTAAGCCCAGCACTTTGGGAGGCCAGGGAGGAGGATCGCTTGATTCCATGTATTCGAGAAAAGCCCGGGCAACATAGCAAGACCCTGTCTCTACAGAAAACAAAAAATTAGCTGAGCAAAAAAAAAAAAAAAATAGTGACCTTCAGAGAGAGAAGTAATTTCCAGTGTGGTGCAGGGTAAATTGGACCTGGGAGAAGTTAATAACAGAAATATCCCCTAGGAGGCTATTGTGGAGACAGTGACCTTCAGTCCCAGGAGAATTACAAATAATAATAGATTTAGCAAAGAACTTTACATACCAGCCAGCTAAGATAAGGTGCACAGATGCACAGTATCATAATAACTATTACTGCATCTTTTTAGGGGGGCAAGTATAAATAGCCAGAAAACTTTTTACCATATGCAACAAAAGAACATAATAAAGAGCCAGAGGTCTTGAGTTAAATATTCTAGAAAGTGTATTGGTGACTCATTTCACTCTTTCTTATCTGAAAAATGAATGTGTTGGACTTGAATAGTGTCTTCTGAGAGTTTCAGGTACTATCACCTGAAGTCTGAAGCTCCCATCACCCCAAATACTTTAGAGTTTTAAAAACCTAGTATCATTTCTCCCTTTACCTTTCACATGGATTTTCAGTTTAATAAAACTTAGTGATCCAGGGTTCTACTACTGTGAAGCCCAATGAGGACAAACAGACTGCTTCATCTTTGCATTTCCAGCGTAGGGATAATACATATATTCAGTAAAGGTTGGTTGAATGACTAAGCTTTAAAAATGATGAAATATACTAATATTCAGATTGTTTTAATTATTGATAATAGAAAATTACTGTTTTGGCTTGCCCTTTTTTCTTTTAACCCTTTTTGTTCCTATTACTCTCAAAGATCATTTGAAACACAGTTGTCGAGAGTGGAAGCAGAATTGTTAAGAAGAGAAGCTCCTCCCTCTTATGGACAATTGATAGCTCAGGGTTTAATTCCACCCGTTGAAGATTTTCCTGTTTGTTCACCTAATCAGGTATATTGCAATTCATGATTTCTATTTCAGTACCTCGTAAATGAAACCTGTGCCTGCATATGTGATAAAGTAAAGGACCCTTGACCATGTCAGAATTTTTGCAGTCAAATCAATGACTTAAATATACGGAAGATTTGAAATTTTAATTTTCTTTATATTTTAACAAATGCTACAAAATACAAAGATGTATTTTTCATTCTTCTAATTCTGTTGTATAAATTCTTAAGCATTTTACTGTTTAGAATAATTTAGTGTGAGAGGATCACTTGAGCTCAGGAGTTCAAGACCAGCCTGAGCAAGAGCGAGACCCTGTCTCCACTAAAAATAGAAAAAATTAGTCTGGCATGGTAATGCATGCCAGTAGTCCCAACTACTCAGGAGGCTGAGGCAGAATGATCACTTGAGCCGAGGAGGTTGAGGTTGCTGTGAGCTACGCTGACACCACAGCATTCTAACCTGAGCAGCAGAGTGAGACTCTGTCTCATTCATTCATTCATTCATTCATTCATAAATAGATAAATGCATTAAAATTTAAAAGTAAATGTGACAAATTATTTTCTACTTGAAGTGAACATTTGGACAATTTAATAATGAATATTAAAATGAATATGTTTTTAATATAACATAGTAGATTAATCAGTTATAAGTAAAAGTAATTGAATTGAAGTTAATATTTCTATGTCACAAGAAAAAAATCAGGCCAGATTTTATAGTGTTTAATAATTTATACCATTTTGTTTGTGGCAACTCATTATTTATTAATGTTCCAGAATTCTTTAAATTTCTCAGCGTTTTTCTTAAATTTCTTTTTCATTACTTAAAAATGTGCCAGCATTTGTTTTAGTCATAAGGGTTTATACATTGAAATTGTAAATTCATCCAGAAACATTTATAAAAATTGTTCCCAGTATTAGAATTAAGAAAAACTGGTAAACATTGTTTGCCTAGTAATTTAATTTTGTTCAAATGGAGGATCATTTCCTTTTTCGTGAATAAGATTTCTGAGTACAGCCTGTCACTTTATTTGAATCTTTTGGGAAATCTTTGGTGAGAATTTGTAGTTTTAAAACATTTATCCAGATATAATTTGCTAAGTAAATAATTGACAAGTTCTACTGATTGGAATTTGGGATTTATTTATATATCAACCTTGTCATGGGGAAGATTTCTTTTTCATTAGGAATTTAGACCATGGTTAATTCCATAAACCCACTCCACTGTCTACTACCCACCATCTCTAAACCCTGTGAGGTTAGAGAAAACACAGTCCACACAAGGCTGCCCTCACTCCTAACACCAATTGCAAATTTGGGGGGTTCCCAGTATCACCCTCAGGTTTGGTAATTCACAAGAAGGACTCATAGAACTCACTAAAAGCTGTTTACTCATGGTTATAGTTTATGACAGTGAAGGATACAGATTAAAAACAGCCAAGAGAAAAGATGAATAGAACAGAGTTCATCAAGGTACCAAACATGGACCTTCCAATTGTCCTTTCCCCATAGAGATAGGAGACTACTACTCTGTGGACACACATATGTAGCAGTATGTGTGCATGGAGTATTAACAACCAGGGAAGCTCACCCAGGCCTTGGTGCCCAGAGTTTTTACTGGGGCTCTATCACATAGATGTAATTAATTGCACATGTGGTTAATCTCAGTCTTTAGCCCCTTCAGAGATTGATTGACCCAAAGCCCCCACCCTACATCACATTATTGGTATGGCACAGAGCCTCCACGGTAAATCACAGTGTTACCATCTGGCTGGTCCAAGACCCCCAGGCAAAGACACATCTATCAGGCATGACATTCCAAGGGCTTAGAGATCACATCCCAGAAGCCAAGGATAAAGGCTTTGGGTAAGGTTAAATTCTTTACTATATACTACCCCATTTTCTAGGGTTATAATGTACCCTTGTGTGAGAATTCTACTTCAACAACATTTTAAAATAAAATATGTTTTTATGAATGGTGCATGGTAAATTAGATTTTATTCATTGAATGAGATTAAACTCTCAAATTTGAAACTTTTGGTAACAAATTATCAAATTCCCATAGCAGTTTTAAAAAAGAAAAAAATCTTATATTGTCTCACTCAAAATAGAAATGCTTCCTGAGGAATGCTTTCTGCTTCATAAACCAGAGAATTATATAAAATTATTCCTAAACATTCATGAGATCCCCTCATAAAATCTAATGTTAGTTTGGTAATCTTTTAATTAAATAGACTTTTAACTAAGTAGAGTGCTTCACATCACTATGACAAACTAAAATGTTAAAGCCAGCATTAAAGTATGTTGAAAGCATTGTTGATCTTGATAGATAATAGCTATATGTTCTGGACATAGTAACAGGACTCACACAAAGCCTTACAATTTGAAGGCTAAATGTTGAAGACCAAATCTGGAGTTTAGTAGGTATGTGAATTTTTATTTTTTAATTTGTAGTTGCCTCTTAATTCATGAAAAATCTTACTCATCTATATAGCAAATCCATGTGTGCTGATATGCAAATTTCTTATTGACAATCTCTGCTTTACTAAAGCTAGATTATGAAATGTTCCTATGATAGTAGCCTCTTAGCTTTCCATGAATTGTGTTTGCAACACTATGGAAAGACCTGTATGGAAACCACAAATAAATGCAATCTCACCAACAGGGAGGGGTGGAGGACCTATCACATCTTCCTTACTTTCTACCCTTCTTTTTTCTGTGAGGGGAAAGGTAAGAGGTGTAAGTTTTGGCAGAGGGAAACTGTGTCATCATTTGAAGGAGAGTATATCAACTCACCATTATTTCCTGGAAATACAATATTTTAAATACTAAATGCTAAGTTGATGAAAGCTGTTTTTTCCAAGTTCAAAAAATGCCTTTTTATAATAACCACTAGGTGGAGCTTAAAGACTATCTCATATAATGTACCTTTTTAAAAAAAAATCTGTAAACTCATTCATCTAGAAAAAATATTTTTATTTCAGTTGGACAATATACTTACTTTTTATATACACTAATTAAAAATCATCTGTTTTGAAATAATAATGATAATTTATGTTTAATATTAAACCGTAGAAAATAAAACTTATCTTTAAAGATTGAGAAAAAATCTAAATACGTAGATATGGTTGGGTAGTGTATAAACAAGTTTATTTTTTTTAGCTTTTGTTGTTTTATGTACTTTATTATACATGTATTAATTCCTTTATTTGTGACAATGTAATTATATCTTCTGTATCCATTCATTCAACAAATCCTTGAGAAAGAACTCTGAAATATAATTTTCACATGTTTTGGAAAGGTTCAGCCTTACAAATCAAATCTAATTTGTTCTGGTTTTCACACTTTTTTAGCTCCTTAGTGAATTATAATAGAGATTCTTCCACTTTCCTAGTTATAAAAATATCAAATAATTTTATTTTCTAACTTTGGTACACTCTTAGGATTGTATTATTATGTGAGGTTTTGAAACAAAATAGCTGTTCCAATTCACATTAAATATCAGTGAAGTATCAAAAAAATCTTAAATACCATAAGCAGTGATTCAAGTTATAGATTGGATTCTATGGTGGGGTGTACCTATGAAGGTGAGAGAATTTAACTCATCTTCTACAGACCCTAATAACAATGAGTAATAGAATTTTTAGTCACAACATATTCTTAATAGAAGAATGTTTTAATCTTAATACCTCTGTTAGCTATCTTAAGATCTTTTCTTATTTTTGTAGGCTTCTGTTTTGGAAAACCTGAGGCTAGCTGTACGATCCCAGCTTGGATTCACTTCAATCAGGCTTCCTATGGCAGGCAGGTCCAGCAACATTTGGAACCGCATTTTTAATTTTGCAAGATCACGTCATTCAGGGTCATTGGCTTTGGTCTCAGCAGATGGAGATGAGGTCGTCCCTAGTCAAAATACGAGCAGAGAACCTGAAAGAAATCATTCTCACAGAAGTTTGTTTTCCGTGGAGTCTGATGATACAGACACAGAAAATGAGAGAAGAGAGACAGCAGGAGCATCTGGTGGGGTTGCAGCTCCTTTGCCCCAAAAAGTCCCTCCCACAACAGCAGTGGAAGCAACAGTAGGCGCATGTGCAAGTTCCTCAACTCACAGTACCCGAGGTGGTCAAACAGATAACGGAAGGGATGTGACCAGTGTGGAACCCCCAAGCGTGAGTCCAGCACGTCACCAGCTTACAAGCGCGCTAAGTCGTATGACTCAGGGGCTACGTTGGGTACGTTTTACATTAGGGCGATCAAGTTCCGTAAATCAGAACCAGAGTCCTTTGAGACAACTTGATAATGGGGTAAACGGAAGAGAAGAAGATGATGATGTCGAAATGCTAATTCCAGTTTCTGATGGAGCTTCAGACTTTGATGTGAATGACTGCTCCAGACCTCTTCTTGATCTTACCTCAGATCAAGGACAAGGGCTTAGACAACCGTATAATGCAACAAACCCTGGAGTAAGGCCAAGTAATCGAGATGGCCCCTGTGAGCGCTGTGGTATTGTCCACACTGCCCAGATACCAGACACTTGCTTAGAAGCAACACTGAAAAACGAAACGAGTGATGATGAAGCTTTGTTACTTTGCTAGGTACGAATCACCTAAGAGAGATTGTATACAAGTTGGAGCAATATCCATTTATTGTTTTGTAACTTTACAATTAAACTAGTTTTAGTTTAAAAAGAAAACAAAATGCAGGGTTATTTCTTATTATTATATATTAGCCTGCATGGTTAAATTAACTTGTAACTCTATGAACTTAGAGTTTACTATTTTAGCAGCTAAAAATACATTATGTATTCATATTGTTCAATAATGTTCTTTCATTTGTTTCTAATTGTTTTTATCCTGGTACTGTAGTTCACTGTAGAAATATGGCTGCTGAAACTCATTTGACTGTCATTTTATCTACCCTATGTTAAAAGGTTTGTTTGTGCAAAATAGTACCTTATTTTAATTGAAACTTTTATGCTTTTGCCAACACATCTTTTAACAGTATACTAGATGTTAAGGTTGTTAATGTATGAAAAACCGCCTATACTCACCTGTGTTTTTATTTATATAACATTTGTCTCTTACTGGATTTCATCATAATATGAGCTTGTCAAAGGGAAAAAAAACTTTCTCTAAAAATTTTTCTTACATTTAACATGCAGTGATGTGAAATTTAGGTAGAGTTAGATAAATTAATGGCAAAAACAAAACTCTTTTATAGATTTTCTAATGTTGACTTTAATACACTAATATGGTACAAACCAAATGGTAAAATCCCAAGTCACTTCTTTTTTCATCTCTATTAAGGGACAGAATTAAGCGGACAAAGATACTCTACTATGCATTAAATCTTGAACTTTATAAATATGTACAAAAATTGTACAAGATAAGTTCCAGCTGGTAATGTCTTTCCCTAATATAGGGTTTTGCTTGTATTGGACCCTAGGGATTTGCACTAAAATTATATCAAGGTCTCAGATGAGTTTAGTGCACAAGCACTATCACTTTAAATACTATTATTTGCTACCACAATGACTCTATATTTCCATAGCTGGGAGGGGGGGGCCTTTTTATTACAACTTGAAATTGCTTTGCTGTTTTCATATTTATTTGTTGTATTTAAAAAATACATTATTGTAAGAGTGATTCTTTTTTCAATATATTTTATTCATGGGGGGATCATGCTACAGTCTTGAAAAGAAAATTAAATCATTTGGATTGTCCCCCCTTTTTAAGGAGAGTGAATTGCAAAACCCCACTTATTTTTTTTATTGTCAATTCCTGTTTATTTATTCTTTAGCTGTCTATTTTAGTAGTTTGATGATTGAGTATGAAAAATGTATTTGTGATTATTGCTATTTATTAAATTTTAAGTACTTTGCTGAATGTCATTTTAAAGCATGTTTGAGGTCTTGTGTATTTGTCGTGTTATGCTGTCAGGACGAACTGACTAAAATGTTTTAGTATGTATCAAAAATTAAAATGATTTTTTTTATTGCCTTGAGGTACTTTCTAAATCAAAAGCTGTTCTTTATTTTTGTTGAATTCTGGTGCATATACAAACTCAGGCCATAAAATATGTAATATGTCTAAAATAAAAATGAAAAGAGGAATAGTCTTCCTTAACTACCTGATGGTAAAGTAGTAGTTTATACCAATACTGGAAGGTAAAATTCCCTAAGTACTGAATATTCTTTTTGCCTTTCAGAAAACTGCCTCTATATCTTGCAAAATGTAGTAACAGAGTTCTCTTTTTACATTATTTTCACATGCATTTCAGACCCCTATAGAATATTCTACTGGCATAATTTGGGTTACCAAATTGATCTTCTTTTAGGTCCTACTAATATATTATCAATTATATGGTTTCTGGTTTTGTTTTCTGGCATATGTTTTATTTTTTAAATTAATACATCTTCCTGGTTCAAACAGTAAAAAGTAAGTTCCTCTCCTACCCTCGACACCCATCTTTTAGTTACCTTTCAATGAGACACATACCAGTACCAGATTCTTGTATATCCCTCCAGAAATACCACATACATACATAATGTGTCTCTGTGTATATAGATGCCCTATATAATGTAAATTACACTATGCATATATTTTCTGTACCTTTTCTCAAAGGGAAAAATATATCATTAGAATTTAATTATTAAAAGTAAAGTTGAATGTTTCTGTAATTTGATTTTCCAACTATATCATGTCATCTGCAAACATATTGTAACCTTTATTACAGTTTGCATACCTTTTTGTATCTTATTTAATTGGACTGTCTAGTATTCCTAGAATAATGTTAAATAACATTGGCTATAATGAAATGGGTGCAGATACACACATTTAATACACATGTTTAGGAGTATCATGTTTAGGAGTGTCAGCTGATCATTTCCACTTAAATTTCCTACGTTTTGCTTTCCTTAGTTTATTTGGTGGTTTGTTTTTTCCTAACTCCTTGAGTAAGCATTTAATTCATTTATTTTTGTTAATATTTCTTAATTGTTAATAAGAGATTGAAAATGTGGACTTAATTTGGAGCACTGATTAAGCTGAATCATTTAGATTATTAATGGTGTCTTACTGTTATTTTCTAGGTGTTCTTAAGTTTCAGTTTTGATTTCCTCTTTGACCCAAAAATTGCGTAAGAAAGGATATCTTTTCCTTTTTTCTTTTTCTTCACCTTTTTCCTCAGATAAGAGAGTTTTTTTAATGTGGGTTGAGTAGAAGTTTTATTTTCTGTTTATTTTATTTTCATCTTTATGGCATCAAAAACAGAATGTTATCTGTATAATATATGCTTTGGGGGTTTATTGTCTTTCACTTTTTTAAATGTTCCAGGAGCACTTAAAAAGGATAGTCTCTGTTTACAAGATACAGATTTTAGTAGATGTTACTCAGATTTGTTGTTTAGACTTTCTAAACAGGATACAGTTCTTCATCTTGTCAGTCTGTCAGTCAGAGCTCCAGTGTTAGTAGGGAAGAGACTAGAAACAAAAAGAGCTGAACCCGAAGGATTCAGTGGGCCAGCAGCCTGCCTTACCTCATGTCACACACAAGCAGCGAGCACATAGGCACAGGATGAAGGAGTCTTTCGACAAGCTGCTGAGGTTTTAGTTCTTACTACTGCTGACCACTATCATCCAGTTAAGCTGGAAACAAATGAGTAAGACAGGCCAAAAAGAATAAAGGAAGATCGAGCACATTCCAATTTTCTACGTTTTAAGCTCCTGTTGCAGACCCAGTAACCCAGCAGTTCACCTTGCTGCTGACCTCCATTCAGCTACTGCTGTGTTACTCCTGACACCCTTCTCCCCTGACCTCCACGGGGGAAGATGACAGCCACCTGATAAGACCTGTTTTATTTAGGTAGGTCCCTGTTTAAAAATTGGTAGAAGTCAACACTAGAGAGAAAGGCCTTGGCTCAGAACATCAACTTGTTTCGGAATAGCTTTCAAATTACACACAGATATTGGCATGGTTGGAAACTTGACTGAGATTGCATTTTTTTCTTAAGGCATGCAACATTTGAGGTGGTAGAAGAAAGCAAAGTAAAATTCACAGAATTTTAGAGCTGGAAGGAATCTTAAAATGAGAAAGTAACAAATAGTTATTAGGAATTTTCTCTACTTCAAAAAAATCTGTTAAATACACTTACGTGTTGTATATACATACATGTAAACATGCCGTGTATGCATACATGGTTTACCATCATGTGATGTTACAGGGTTTTTTATTTTAAAAGTTAGACCATTATTTTGGTATATGTCTGTTCCTAAATGTGGGTGTATCCCATGTTCACACCGTCAAAGACCATTTCTACAAATTTACCACTAGCTGCTTTTTCATCATAGAAAACATTTTTCATAGCAAATCATATTTATCCATTATTGAGTGCCTACCATCTGCCAAGTCTTTTATATGTATCTTTGGGATCTTCATGGTCCTATGAAATGTAAACTTGTCTTTTGTTTATCCAAGGACATAGAGCCAATAAGGGCAGAACTAATATTTAACCTTAGTCGTGTCTGACTCAACAGTTGTCCTGTGAATAAGATGAATCATAAAGTGAAGTAATACTTATCAATCAGGAGAGGTACCCATCTTCAAAATGGAGTTGACAGACCCTGGATGATGATGCAAACTCTTTGAACCTCAGCTTCATCATCTTAAAATAAGGATAATAATAGCTGCCTCATAAGATTATTGTGAGGAATAAATTAAGGTAATGTTTGTGAAAGCTTTAGCACATGTTCTGGTTGTCTATTGCTGCATAACTAACTACCCCCAGACTTTAGTCTTAAGGCAACCACAATCATTCAGTTTGCTCACACATCAGTAATGTGGGAAGAGCTCAGTGGAATCGGCTCATCTTGCTCCTCTTGTCATCTGCCAGGGTTGGAGGATGTACTCCCAAAAGAGCTCACCTCCTTGGCTGGCAGGTTTGTACTAGTTGTTGGGTAGAAGCTCAGCCAGGAGCCTTGGGTGCTCTGCAGTGGGCCTTTCCTCAGGGCTGCTTGTGTTTTCCTTATAACATGGAAGCTGGAACCCCAGAGCGAATGTTCCAATACACCTCTGCGGAAGCTGCCAGGCTTATTATGACAGTCTCAGAAGTCCTAGAATGTTACTTCTGCTACATTCTCTTTGTAAAATCACAGGCCAACCCAGATTCAATAAGGAAAGAAATAGACTCCCCTCTAAATAATAGAAATAGCAGAGAATTTGTGCCATCTTTACCATAGCATGGTACCTGATATATAAGAAATATTAATACTAAGTTGCCATTATTTTAAGTAAAAAAAGTTTTTCAGTCCCAGTAAGATGTTTATTTGCTAAAAGGATATCAAGTTAACTCAGCTCCTCTGCCATGTCAAGTACATTGTGTCTATCTTCTATTTATTACGGATAAATAAATTTGCCTTACTTGAGTCACAAATGATGGCGTTAACACAACTTTAAATAAACATGTAGGCAGTTGGTAAATGTTAAAGATTAGTAGTTATTTTTCAACTACATTTAAAATAACTTACATTTCAACATATGTTATCATAGCCTATAAAATCTTTAAATTTGTTAGAGGCAGCAGTGTAGTGGATAAAAATCTGGAACCAGATTGCCTAGGTTTTAATCCTGTCCTGCTTCTTACTAGCATGTGACCTTCAGCAAGTCACTTAATCACTTTGTACTTCCATTCATCATCTGTAAAATGGGGATAATAGAGCTGTTGGAAAATTAAATAAATTAATATGTGTCATGCTCTTGGATCAGCTCCTGGCTCGTGGTAACTGCCATGCAACTGTTCACTATTATTATTGTCATTGTTATAATGTCAAAAAGAAAACATCTCTGAAGCTTAGATTTAATTAAATGAGATATTGTATGTGAAAAATACTAACACAGTAGTGATTTCTGAAAAAGAAATGGAAACAGATCATGAAAATGTGTTTACCTCTGGGATCATGAAAGTGAATTGCAACCCAGAACAAAAGTCAAAAAGGAAGCAAGAGAGAGGAGCGGGGAGCAGCCCACTTGTGATGAGTTAATGAAATTCCAAGACTAAGGAGGAGACAGATGAAAGGAACCCAAGGAAATTATGTTGGTAACAGGGAATCTGGAGCAAGGTCTTCACAGGACTCCTAGAACCTAATGATTTTCAGATCACTTAGTTCCTTCCTAGCAAACTGCTAGTTGCATACCCAGTATCCATGAGAAGAGCCTCATTTTAAGGGTGGTTGAAAGAAAGAGAAAAGGTCTGATATTGCTGAGCACCTGCATCAGCCTTGGCCTGGCTACCTCTGGACTTCTGCTTACATGAAAAAAATAAATCCCTGCATATTTAAGCAACTGTGGTAGGCTTCTTCATTACCCATGGAGTAACAATCCTAACTGATCTACTGATTCTTAAATCAGAAATGATAACAGTGGTTTAGAAGATGGAACAAGATGATGTGTATAAAACAGAACAGAGGGTAAATGCATGTGCAAATGTTCAGTGGGGCTACAGTGATGGTAGGGCTATCAATAACCTGCTCATCCTTGTTCTCTTCCAACAGCAATTCTATCTATATGATGGGCTTTCCTATAAGATTTCATTTGAACAAAGGGTTTTGAGGATTAATAAAATTTGAAAACCAGTGTTCAAACATCACAGGACTAAGTGACCCCATGCCAACCTAGGAAACACATGGTTTATTGATAACAAAATAAGAACTTGCTAGGAGTGTTTTAAAGTAAGGATACTGACATGTCAATTAGGGTGGATTTTCCATGTGTTGAAAGGAAGCTCAAACCCAGAGAAACTTAATATCCTCCAAAAAGTGACATAGAAGCTTTACTAAGAAATGAGAGAGTACAATGAGATGGAAAAGCATAGGCTTTGGAGTCAGATACTTCACTGTTTGAATTCTGGTTCCACTGCTTAAGAGTTTTGTAACTTTGAATAAATCTCTTGATCTTATTAAGCTTTATTGTCTCAGCTGGAAAATGGAATAACATGTACTCTTAAGGTTACTGAAAGGATTAAATGAAAGGACTAGAAGAAAACCTACGCGGAAGCCTTTGCTGGAGCCTTACACATAGAGCTTGAAATAAATTTTAAAAATTAAAACAATTTTTTGAGCTCCCCTCCACCATGTATTATGCATTTTGTATATTGCTAGAGCTTTCTGAAGAGCCTATTTCTTATAATAGTCACTGTGCTATTTTCTTGATTATAGAGCAACTTATGTATCTCAATGAAAAGTAGATTCACTAAACAGAGGTAGCGTGGTAACTTGGCACAGACCTTTTTATTACAATGAAGCCAAAATGAGAAACTTCCATAGCTCTCCAGAACAGGAAAGATGTGGGCCACTGCCTGTGGATTTAGCAGCATATGTTGAGCTAGTATAAATAACAGAAATTAAGAAAGCTATTTCTATTCAGAAATTATAAAAAGCAACATATATAAAATAGATATTCAAATCTGAGTATTCTCAATTTCACTACAATAGGATCAACTTTACCTGAATATATATATTATATATATCTTACTGCTGAACTCTCATTTCAAGTGACCATAGAAATTCCTTACCTAATTTAGCTCACAGATTTAGTTTTCCAAAGTCTAACTTATCTTAAATATAAATTTTGTATAGTAGTCTCCCTTTATCTGAGATTTCACTTTCGATGGTTTCAGTTATCCACAGTCAACCTTGGTCTGAAAATATTAAATGGAAAATTCCATAAATAAACAATCCAAGAGTTTTAACTTGCGTGCCGTTCTGAGTAGTGTGATGGAGTCTCATGCCATCCTGCTGCACCCCACCCGGGACGCGAATCCTCCCTCGTCCAGGTAGACACTGTAGACTCTCCCCACCCAGCAGTCACTAGTAGCCCTCTGGTTATCAGATCAACTGTCGTGCTATCGCAGTGCTTGTGTTCAAGTTACCCTTAGTTTACTTCCTAATTGCCCCACAGCACAAGAGTAGGGAAGCTGGTGATTCAAATATGCTAAAGAGAAGCCGAAAAGTGCTTCCTTTAAATGAAATGGTGAAAGTTCTCCATTTAATAAAGAAAGAAAAAAAATTGTATGCTGAGGTTACCAAGGTCTACAGTAAGAACAAATCTTCTATCTGTGACATTGTGAAGAAGGAAAAAGAAACTCATGCATAGTAAATATAGGTTGGTTTTGGTACTATCCTCAGTTTTGGGCACTCACTGGGGGTCGTGGAATATATTCCCTGTGGATAAGGGGAACTACTGTAGCTGTTATTTTCTATTTAAGATTTTATTTGTTACAGCCACATAGTAAGGATTCATATTTTATTTTGGAACCATATTTGCCTTATAAAAATATAAAAAGATTAGAAAACAACCACTTCACAATTACTTACTAGTGGTTACTTAGGGCTAAAAAAGGGGGAAAGCATGTGGGAGGAGGTGGACGCCAAAGAGAAACTGCACAGGACGAAGTTAGACAAAGAAGATTTTATTTAAGACGTGCAATGGGGAGAGAGCTAGAACTCAAGTCTGCTGAAGCAAAAGCAGGCAGGATTTGAAGCACTGGCTGAGTTAGTGGAAAAGTACTGGAGGCTGAGGGGGGATGTTGGTCCATGTGGTTAGGCCATCTGTGTTTGCTAGTCGCTAGTCAGCACTTAGAGTCTGGGAGATAGCAGTGCTGCTTCCTTGATGATCACATTTATAGGGATGGCTCCCAGGTCCTTGAGAAAGACTTACCTGGGTTATGAAACTGGCAAGCGGCTGGAAGAAGTATCTACATTTCAAAGGGGCAAAAACCTGTCTAAAGGTTAGTTGAGCTGAGGGGAGTATGAATGCTGTCTTGGTCAATGGGTACAAAGTTTCTTTTGGGGATGATGGAAATGTTCTAAAATTAGATTAAGTGAAGGTTACAAAATTCTATAAATATATTAATACTATAATAAAAACCATTAAGAAATGGGTCAACTTTATGGCATGCAAATTATATCACAGTAAAGCTAGTTTTAAAAGATCAGGAAATAAAAATACAAAATATATCCTTTTTGTTTGTTTGCTTTTAGCATTGGATCTAAGTTATTCTTCTATAAATAACCTTGGTTATTCTGCAGGAGAAAAGTAGTTGCTTTATGAGATTAAAGTTACAGAAAATGTCATTCATCTTCATTTATTTAGTCAAAAATACAGTGTAATGGTTGAGGTTACCACTGGCCTTAAAAGCTGATCAAAGTAACATATTATTTTAGCAGTTAACAGCTCTGAGCCATAGTTTTTACATCTGTAAAGTGGAAGTAGTATTTCCTACCTCATGGAGTTCCTATCTCATGGAGATGAGATAATATTACATAAGGGCCTTAGCCCAGTCTAGCATATTGAAATTCAACAACTAACTCTGCCATGAATATTTATGGAGAGACTACATGCCCGGCATTGTTCTCACTAGTACCACTCTTGACCTGAGCTCCTTGAGCTCTGCCTTAGGAACCACCTCCTTGGCTGTCCTCCCCCACATGTCTCCCTAAGGATGAGGAAGCTTTAGGTCATGGAGACAGGAGTGCTGCTCCCTTCCCCCCATTTCTGGACCACACTTTTGGGACCCAGAATCTCAGGATTTCCTGTCCAAATGGCCTAAGCCCACATGCAAGGCCTGCTTGGCCTCTTCCCTGGATCTGTCTTCCTGGGGCTGGATTGAGCCACATCCCAGGTCCCAGGGGAGGGAGGAGCTGTGGACCTAGCACAGGACCTCTCACAGGGCAGATGGGGCAGGGATGTGAAAGAGAAAGGACAAGGGGTCACTATCCACACTCTTGCCCTGAGCACTGCAATTGTTAAGAGCAAGGCTGGTTCTGGCACTAAGAATAAGACAGTATCCAAAACAAATATGAATATTATTAAAAACACTGAATTATTTCTGCTAATTAAAAGAATACTCATAGTCCATTGAACTTCTTTCCCTTTCCTTAAAGCCTAAGCCTATTTAGTTCTAAATACATAACTGTGGCTCTGAAAGTTCGTCTTTCCCCTTGAAGACTACTTGATTTTAACCACAATAAATGAATTAATATTGCCTTGAATAATTGTGCATTTTCATTTCATTTCTAATTAATTTTTTTCTTGTTCCTCTGAAAGACTCATTGCAAAGAAAATCCAAGTTTTTATGACAACAAAAATGACATTTTAAGAAAGCTATTT